ATTTGGCCAGTATTCTGTCCCCTCTGGATACAACTGGAATTACTTCTTCTACCTAGAACTTTGGGTAATGTACATAACTATTGCTGCTTTCACATTCCCTTCGTGTCTCTGAAAAATGAACAGGAAGCTGTCAATAAAACATTTTCCCCCAAAACCAAACACCACTTTTCCCTCCAATATTGATTGTCCACAAGGGCATAACTTCTACTGTGATAGCAGAGGCATATATGAAATTTCAAAGACTAGTAAGATGGGTCACAATAGAATGGAACATAACATGACATTTGATAAACTTAAAGTTGTTTAATAAGACATAATTTACATAGAACTATCTTCAACAAAGGAATTTAAAACAGAATGAATATATATGTGAGTCTATTTTCAAATATATTTGCAATAAATACATTCAGACTAATTTGCTAAAGCTAAGGCACAAGGTGCGTACATTAATGTTTGCACAGAAGGGAATTGTTATGGATGAATACAAATGGTGAATGGCATGATACAAGATAAAACAATTAGAAAAATAAAATCACTAATGATTTAAACTAACCAAGTGTGAAGTATGAACTCTCATGTTCATAATCATTAGGTGCAGATGATAATTCAGACAAATGGAAATAATGTGGCAGCATATATACTTGAGCAGGGTTACTATGAAAACAGTTTTGGTAGACATAAATTGGAGCAAGACCAGGGAAGACAAAACTAACAGGAGATGAATTCAGTGGTCTCATTTGGGGAGATGTATTTCTTTCCAAGTAGTAATCTTGAGATTAGAGATTGAGGAGTATATAAAGGGAGAATATGCATAAGAACTAGAGAGAATTTGTATCTAACTAAGAGTGAAAAGAAAAAGGAAAGAGAAAAAGTGATCACTCACATGTTTGTAGAGGAACAGTAGAATGCTGTTATCTAATAGATTAAAACTAGAACTTACTACATAGTCAAAATGTTAAGGTTACCAGCATACATTTGTAGCTTAGGAAACAGAAAAATGATTGGTTACAAAGTAAGTTTTGAGCTTAATATAACTAAGTAGTTGGCCAGCCTCTGTGTATTGATTATTCATTAACACAAAAAGAGGAGACAAGAGTTTAAGTCTTTCAATATTGCAAATGTCTAAGAAGAAAGTGTAAAAAGAAAAAAATTACAGGATAAGTGAAAAAGGGAGTGAAAAATGCTAAGAAAGTCTGTAGCCAGAAAATTTAAGAAAGGCTAATTTAATGAAGAATATACTAAATTGCTTTAAATTACAGGCATTTTAATAGTGCTTGCTGTGGTCAATAGAGTTAAATGTCTCCTACATTCAAGTAATGTGAGAATGGTAAGTGATAATTAGATTTTGCTGTTAGGCTATTAGTGGTCTTAGTAAGAACAATTTCTGTGTAGCCATGAGAAAAGTTTTCATCTTGATGAGTTATGTGAGAAGTAACCTGCCGAGTTTGGATATAAAAGAAACTAATACATAGGAAATTAATAGAGGTTAAATTAGGTGTCTTTATTAGGTAATAATTTTGTATATTTTTATTATTTCTATATCTACCTGTCTATCCACATATCACTATCACTATCACTATCACTATCATCCCGTTGTTCATTGATTTGCTCTAATGGGCCCAGTAACATCTCCATTCATCCTGTCACGTGCTAGTGTAACCCGATGACATATTGTGGTCTCCTTCAGGATCAGGGGAATGAGGATCATTCATTGTTACTGTTTTTGCAGGTGTTCCTAGTCAGGCATATAGGTGGGTATGATACTCTCAGTAGCCTGCCGGGTTCTCTGAGAGTGAGAACTAGAGAATAAGAGGTCGTTACCAGGAGCATATAAGTATCCACGTATATGCACATATATAAAAAAAGCTATCTAATATAGGAGAAAAAATAGTGAATGATCTTGATGGTGAGAATGGAATTTTAAGTGTGATAAGCCGTATTAAAATGAAGAGATACAACTTTGAAGTAGGAAACAAACAGGAAAACTGGGAAATCATTATAATTTTGGTACATTTCATTATAAGAATATGCTAATAGGTTGTTTACAATTTTAAGAATTATAAAATTAGAAAAATAACAGATGTGGGCCCATGATGACACTGATTATTTGGGATAATTTCCTGTTGATAGAACTTGTTAGGGAATGTGTAATATTTATACTCTAGGAAATCCATAAGGAGAGAAGAAGTAGTCATCAATCAGGAGTGAAGTCTATAAATGAAATTTATGTTGATAACTCCTGTCACTATCATTCTATCCGTAAACATTAGCAAAGAATGCTCATTTTAGACATGGCAGTTCTTAGCTCAGTTGCAGGTAAAGGGCACACAGTAGGCATGTGACAGATAGCTATTAACTTAATGATATAAGATCCTCAACACTTTAAAAAGAAGATATGTCAATAATTTAATTAATTATTATTCTTGTACCAGAAAATAGTAGCATCACTGGGCTTCTAATTAGGAAAATTAATAACAGAAAAACATCTTTTCTGCAAGACTTACATAATTTGTATTTGTGAGATGAATTTTACACATTTCCATAGTAATATGCTTTTGTGATTTTAACTCTTGTTCTTGAACACAGTAAGCCCTGTTTATTTCTTTTTTTAAGCAACAAAAACACTGCATCTCAAGTCTTGTTTTTAGGAGTGCAGTATCTAGGGTATCTAGGTCATCATTGGGTCAGTTTCTGATATTACTCAAATCCTCAGAGGAGTTGATCTGAAGATGGAGATCTCATTTGTTGAAAATAGGGTTCACATTGTCTCTGAGGTAGGGTACCTTAAGAGGTGGAAAACTTGAAGAAAAATTGCCTAATCTACAGTCAACACTCAATTTTTTTCACTACTGAGAATTATTCCCCTGCCCTGACCTATCATATGGGCTTCTTCACTCTGCAGCTCTACATGCAGCAGAAAATTATACTGCAGAATGTGTGTGTGCCTGTTTTTCACTTTGATTTTTTCATTTCATAGCACATATCTACATTCAGAGTGGAAGAATCATATTCATGTTTTAGCAATCTAACTTTTGGCATCATGAAACATAATTTATCATTTTTACTTTTATACTATTTTGGCACTGAACTCTTAATGACTGACATTTCATACCTTAGAATATTATTTTAAGCAGGTTATTTGGAGAATGTTCTCCCTTTAAATAAAACTTAGAACAACTATTTTAAATTTATAACTTATATGATGTGGATGATAGAAAATATAAAATCATGGTTTCTATAGGAACTATGGTAAAATAGCCATACAATTTTCTCTTATAATGTAAAGAGAGAGAGAGATCCTTTGTAGCATATACTGTTGAAGGATTAAATCCACCTTATTAAAGAGAACAAATAATTTTCCTTCTTTCAAGCTTCAGAAATAAACAAGAGGAACATATATTATAATACAACTAGGTAAAATCATCCCTTGTTAAATTCCCATAGTAAGTTAAAATTTATTTATCAGGTGCAACTAAAGTTTTCAATTGAATTCTCCAAGTTTAGAGAGAGAGAGTGTGTGTGTTTTGTTATTTACTTTCAACTTTGTATAAGGAAAACAAAGAAGTTATGAGAATTTTACATACACTACAGAATGATTCCCTGTTTAAAAGCATTCTACTAATATAGACACTAACATGGGGTAATGTATTCTTCTGTATATTAACAATTTCAATGATTAAAGTTGCAAGATCAAAATTATAGATGTTAGGCTTATTTTAATTACTGAGAGTATTTTTAACCAATTGTTTTTATGATGAGATAACTGATAACTATTTGTTTAGAAAATATCAGTTCAAACAGTTACAGCTGAAGAGTAATCTCAGAAGTATGGGATTTATTTATTTTTTTAAAATACAGTTCCAGAGAGATAGTATAGGGTGCTAAGAAACTTGCCTTGCATGCAGTTGACCCCATTTTGATCTAAGGCATCATGTATGGTCCTTGAGCACTAGCAGGAGTGACCCATGAGCAGAAATGCAGGAGTAAAACATTAGTAATATTGGGTGTGACCTGAAAATAAAAACTGGCACTATCATTGTCACTGCCCTCTCATTTTTCAATGATTTGCTCGAGCGGGCCCAGTAATGTCTCCATTTGTTTTTTTGAGACTTGTTGTTACTGTGTTTGGCATATTGGAGACATCACGGGTAGCTTGCCAGGCTTTGCCGTGTGGGCGAGATTCTCTTGGTAGCTAAAACATAAAAACAAACAAACAAAAATCTCAGGGAATTATTTATAATACTTAAAGAGTTGATGTAATTAGGTAATAAAAATATATATGTATATATACTGACATTGAAAAAGCATCTTTAGACAGTCAGTGATTATATTGGGCAGTGAACACTGCTTATTCTACTTTTTATGCTTAACCTACCATCCTTCTGATTGATACTGATATTTTGGTGGATGTGTGAATTCATGCAATCAGAATTCATTCAAGGTTGGCCTTATTGAGACAATATTTAAGAAATTTGGTCAATTCCTGTCCAATTTGATTATATCTTGATCTTCCTATTTAATTCTCAAAAGGATGACTTGATTTGCGAATTCTTTGCAACTTTTAGCTACAATTTATGCTATTTTCCTCTTAATACCTTTGAATTACCCCCACCCCAAATTCCACTAATTTTCTTTTCTAAACATTTGTCACTGAGTGCTTTCAGTATGTCCATATTCGAGTACAGATTTACATGAAGAAATATGCCTAATGGCATAGATTGTGCATATTTTCACTTTTTAAAAAATGGTTTACTGTCTCTGGTTTCAATTTACTAACCTGTCACATTGAATGCTAATATAGTTGGTTTAAAATTATGGTTCAGGGATGGGAGCAATAGCAGCAGGTAGGGCATTGCCTTGCACACAGCTGACCTGGATTCAATCCAGACATCCCATATGATTCCCCCAAGCACCTCCAGGAGTAACTCTTGAGTGCAGAGCCAGGAGAAACCCATGAGCCAAAACCCCAAAGTCAAAACAACAAAAATGTGGTTCAGAAAAAAAATAGCTTCTGTTACTAAAGTCATGCATAGAACAACTTGCTTGTTCTGCATGTGGAATCAACATCAAGATGTCAGAAGTTTATTTTTTTGTTACTTGGGCAGTTGGTGATCATTGGTTCAGCCATCCTTGTCCTGTAAGTAAAGTTGTTTGCATTTTGTATAAATCATATTACAAAATTCATTGAATATATATACACATATATACATATATGTGCGTGTGTAATAGGATAATATTAATTTCTTATTTTAGATTAATTTTATTATTAGAGAAAAGTAAATAAATAGTAAATAAAAAAGTAAATAAATAAATAAATAAAAAGTAAATAAATAGATTCACTACCAAGATCTCACCATTCTACAAAGAAGTTATCATCCATATCAAGAGATGGGTTCGGCAGGGTGATACCATTTCACCAAAACTCTTCAGTGCCACCCTCGAGAACATCATGCGACGACTGGAATGGGAAAACATGGGAGTGAAGATAGATGGTCAGCAACTACACCACCTCCGCTTTGCTGATGACATCGTTCTAATAACACCAAACATCAACCAAGCGGCACAAATGCTGAACGACTTTGACCGTGAATGTGGAAAGGTCGGACTACAGCTGAATCTTACGAAGACAATGTTTATGAGAAACAGCCTTGTTCCTGACGCTCCATTCGCTCTCAACGGAACCACCATCTCCGAATGCAACAGTTATATATACCTAGGTCGAGAAATCAACATGATGAATGACCTGGCACCTGAGTTGCGCAGGAGGAAGAGAGCGGCTTGGAATGCCTTCAAGAGCATTGAAGAAATAACTAAAAGGACAAAGAACCTCCAGCTGCGAGCACATCTCTTTGATTCCACTATTCTTCCTGCATTAACATATGCCTCAGAGACCTGGACCCTACGAAAACAGGATGAGAACGCTATTCGGGTCTCTCAAAGAGGAATCGAAAGAACTATGCTTGGAATATCACGATTCACTCAAATGAGAGATAGAATCCGGAGTTCTGATCTTCGTCAACGCTCAAGAATCAGGGACGCTGTCTCATTTGCCAAGACATCAAAAATCAGATGGGCTGGACACGTAATGAGGTTTACAGACAACCGCTGGACTAGAGCCATTACTGATTGGATTCCACGAGACATCAAAAGATCACGTGGACGCCCACCTATAAGATGGTCAGACTTCTTCGTCAAGACCCTAAATGATCAGTTTGAGGCTCTGCATGTTCCTAAAACGAACAGATACCATTGGGCTACGCTAGCACGCAACCGGGATGAATGGAGACGTTACTGGCACCCGCTCGAATAAATCGATGAATAACGGGGATTAAGTGATTAAGATTAATTTATTCATGAAGATTTTTTCTGAGTCACACTCAGTGCTGCACAGGATTATTCAAGTACTGTGCTAAAAATCACTTCCTATGGTGTTCAGGGGAACAGATGTGGAGCTAGAAATTGAACCTGGGTCAGCTTCTTGAACTCTATCTCTCTGGTACAGTATTTAGAATATTTTGCCTTTACATTTTAAAGTGGTTGGAGAACATACACATGTATGTATCTATGATATAATTACTTTTTTGTTGTAAAAATAAAAATAATACTCAATTATATTTAATGATATAATTTGTATAATAATTATTGAATTACGTTGTAAGCTGGAGCAGTAATAGAAGGGGTATGGCTTTTGCCTTGCACGCGGCTTATCTGGGTTCGATTCTTTCATCCCTCTCAGAGAGCCTGGTGAGCTACAGAGAGTATCCCACCCACATGGTAGAGCCTGGCAAGCTCCCTGTGGTGTATTCGATATGGCAAAAACAGTAACAACAAGTCTCATAATGGAAATGTTACTGGTGCCCGCCCGAGCAAATCCATGAACAATGGGAGGACAGTCCTTCAGTGCTACAGTACTACATTTCAAGCATAAATACAATACAAATATTTGTAGATGACAAGACTGTAAAATTTAATACAGAGCGATAGATCTTGAAATTAAATTTTATCCAAAGTATTGAAAGTAGTTAAGTTCTTAATTATTCACCTCACTTCATAAATTTAATGTTTCTTTGTTATGAAAAAAAACAGTAGGATAAATGTATAAGGAAATTGGGGCTTGAGCAGGTACAGTGGGTAGGATGTTTATCTTGTAAGCCGACTGACCTGGGTTTGATCCCCAGCAACCTAAATGACCCCTCAAGACCTCCCAGGAGTAATTCCTGAGTATGAAGTCAGGGGTAACTCCTGAATATCACCCCTTAATGTAACCCCAAAACAACAACAACAGTTTTTATAAGGAAATGAAATTAGACTGCATAAAATACAGATCTTTATTGGGTCTAAGCATATTAATGAAACACTAAGAGAAAATAGAATTTTTTAAAAATATATGTATATTTTTCAGTCCTATGTTTCAAAATTTACACTAGAAAATCAGGTTTTCAAGATCAACATCAACAAAATATTTAATAACCCCTTTTAAAAAATGTGGTGAAATGAATATTCACTTCCAGAAAAGGACATATGGATGGCTAGTAAACATTTGAAAACCTGTTTATCAATAAATTATTAGCAATTCAAAATGATAATGTGGTACCATCTTACACCTGTGAGAATAGACTGCATGAAAAAGGACTATACACAGTTAGTGTTGGAGATGTGTAAAAAAAAATAGAAAACTCATTTAATGTTTGTAGGAATATTGTCTGTTTCAACCTTTATTAAAGAGTGTGTATACACAAATACAAAATGCCCATATGATCCAGTGATTCCATATCTTGACACCTATCCCCCAAAATAAAGCCATTAAATTGACAATACACACTCATGCTAATCACATCACTTAGCACAATAGCCATAATATGGAAACTACCCAAATGTCCAATCATTAGTAGCACTGTAGCACTGTCCTCCCGTTTGTTCATCGATTCGCTTGTGTAGACCCAATAACATCTCCATTGTGAGACTTGTTGTTACTGTGTTTGGCATATCAAATATGTCACGGGTAGCTTGTCAAGTTTGCCATATGGGCAAGATACTCTCAGTAGCTTGCTGGGCTCTCGAGAGAGGTGGAGGAATTGAACTAGGGTCGGCCGGGTCGGCCGCATGCAAGGCAAACGCCCTACATACTGTGCTATCGCTCCAGTCCCCGATGATTAGTAGATAAAAATATTGTGATACATATATAGAATGGAATATAATGCATTTATGGAAAATAATGAAATCTAGTTTTCTGCTACCTGGATGCAACTGCAGAGTATCTGCTTAAGTGAAATAAGTCATAGAATGAACAAATACAGGATGATCTTACTCATCTTTGACATATTGAGAAACAACATATAGACATTGTTTAACATAACAAATCATTGGCCTTGAATAGGAAAATTGATAAAATCAGATACAAACGTGTTGGAAACGGGAAAGGGAATAACTAATCTTTATTGTGTTCACTGTCAACTCATTTTTTTCTTCTTTAGATTCTGAGTTTCTTGTTTAATCATGGAAATATGGACTGAAAATATACATACATGGTAAAATAATTTATCTTTCTTTCTTTGTAAGATTTTGCTTAGACATAAGCTACTCTCTATATTTTATGTAAATCAATTTAATTTCTTTATCTTACTTAACTTACCTGACCTTAGCAAACAAAAATTAAGTTATATAATATAAAGTGAACAATTAAGAACTCAACTACTTTTAGTAGATTAGGATAAAATTGAACTTTAAATTCTATCATTTTATAGTATAGTCTCAAAAGGCATAGTTTTCAGTATTTGGAGAATATTTTCTTTATCAATCAATCTGTCAATGGAGTATTTAGGTCCATGTCTTAGCTATTATGAACAATGCTGCTATGACTGTAGGGTTGTGAATATTTTTCCAAATGAGCATTCTCATATCCTTCATATAAGTGCTTATAATGGTATTTCTGGATCATATGAGAGCTCTATTTATAGTTACACTATTATTTTTCCTTCATTTGGGGGAATATGAGGCAACAACCAGCTGTGCTCAGGACCACTGAGCACAGTGGTCTCTGACTATGGGCCACTTCTGTCAGTGATTGATGGACCATATAAAATGCTAGGAATCAAACTTGGGTCAGCTTCCTGCAAAGAAAGTTACATTTGTGCTGTACAACCTCTCCACCTCCAATTCATGATTTTAAAGGGATTTCCATATCACTTTATGTAAAAACGATAGCAATTTATATTCACTTTGTGTATTTAAAAATATGCAGCAGTTTTTATTTAGTCATTGAGCTTTACAATACTGTGAAAAGTAATGTTCCAGAAATACAATATTATAACACCATATCCACCACCAGTGTGAGTGTCCCTCCATGACTGTCACTAGGTCCTCAACCATACTACCTCATCATCCCTGAGCAAAGTCAGTTCAGTAGGCTGACTCTCAAGGTTATTACTATAAGTCTTTATTCTTTATTCCCATACTATGTTTTTTTATATTCCACATGAGAGAATCATTCATTATTTGTCTTTCTTGGACTCATTTTGTACAGCATGATATAATCCAGCTTCATTCATATAACAGCAAACTTTTATTATTTTATAGCTGAATAGCATTTGATTGAGTATCCTAATTTCATGTTTTAATTTTATTCTAGACAATATCATTTATAATAATACAGAAGGTGGTATTTTATATATAAAACATTCTAGCAGAGCACCCAAAACGAGGGTGTTCACTTCCTTCCACTATTGTCCCCAAACCCTACTCCCCATTATATTCTCATCATTCTTGTTTCCATGAGCCATTTTTTAAGCTTGCTGATAAATGCAAGCTCTTATTTTCTGTTGTCTTTAGGAATTTTTTGTATCCGTGTTCTTTCTTTGGGCTGGAGCAGTAGCACAGTGGGTAGGGCTTTTGCTTTGCACACGGCCAACCCGGGTTCGATCCCTCCGTCCCTCTCAGAGAGCCTGGCAGAGTGGAGCCTGGCAAGTTCACGGTGGCATATTTGATATGCTCAAAACAGTAACAACAAGTCTCACAATGGTGATGTAACTGGTGCCCGCCCCAGCAAATCGATGAAAAACGGGAGGACAGTGCTACAATGCTACAGTTCTTTTCTTTATATTTCACATATGAGGGAGCTTATTCTCCATCTGTC